GGCCATTATTCTGAGCCTTCCTCCCCTCAGCAGCCTCCTGTGCTAGACACTCATCTCTTACACGTTCTCCCACTACACAGGCACCAGACAATACAACCAATGAAGTAGTTCTCCCACTACACAGACACCAGACAATACAGCCAATGAAGTAGTTCTCCCACTACACAGACACCAGACAATACAACCAATGAAGTAGTTATCCCACTACACAGACACCAGACAATACAACCAATGAAGTAGTTCTCCCACTACACAGACACCAGACAATTCAACCAATGAAGTAGTTCTTCCACTACACAGACACCAGACAATACAACCAATGAAGTAGTTCTCCCACTACACAGACACCAGACAATTCAACCAATGAAGTAGTTCTTCCACTACACAGATACCAGACAATACAACCAATGAAGTAGTTATTCCACTACACAGACACCAGACAATACAACCAATGATCCAAACCAGTGATCACATACAATACAGCTGAGTCAGCAGCACTGGTGGAAAGATCTTTACAGCTGGACAACTGACCATGCTATACCAAGAGAGACATTGGAAGAAGTTAAAAGTTAATCTAAACCAACAGTCCCTCAATTTGTGTCAATACGGTATAGAAAATGTCAATTAAATTAAAGCCATGCCTATTGGACGGAGAGTAATCAATACATTGTGTTTTCTGCATACACTTATTAGGTCTGTCATTGATTTTGGTCTGAGTCTCAAATGGCATCCTATAGGGCTCGGGTCAATTAGTAGTTGACTATATTGGGAATAGGGTGCCATATGAAACACTGCATACTGTACCCTTGGTTCATTGATTTGATCGTGTGGCCTGACTGACTGAAGCAGCGTGCCACTGTCATCACCACATCTTAATTACTCAGGGGGCCAATTGGCCATTTGTGCTGTACATATCGCATGTGAGCCGGAGGGGCTCTCTGACTGGAGCTGCCTGCATAATTGATGATATGGGATGCTGGAGGAGAAGGAGGAGGTGGAGGAGGTAGGGGGAGAAAGAGGAGAGTGTTGTGGTGAGTGATGATGGGGGGGGGGGGTATGATTTGAAAATGGGAGCAATGCAGGCCACTAAAACAAATTTCATTAATACTGTCCTTAGTGTTTTAGCCATATTGCTAGCTATCACTATTGCTCTCTCAATCATTATGTTCTACTTTCTCTACCAGGGGGTTCTGTATGGACTTGATATACTTTATGATCTAGTGTGTTTCTCTTTCTTCCGAAGGCTGACATACAGTGCCTTCAGAAAGTATTCACACCCCTTTTACTTTTTTTACATTTTGTGTTACAGAGATTTAGTGTCACTGATACACACACAATACCCCATAATGTCAAAGTGGAATTTTGTTTGTAGAAAACTTTCGAAATTAACAAAAAATGAAAAGCTGAAATGTCTTGAGTAAGTAAGTATTCAACCCCTTTGTTATGGCAAGCCTAAATAAGTTCAGGAGTAAAAATATGCTTAATAAATCACATAATAAGTTGCATGGAATAATAGTGGTTAACATGATTTTTGAATGACCACCCCATCTCTGTACCCCAAACATACAATTATCTGTAAGGTCCCTCAATTGAGTAGTGACTTTCAAGCACAGATTCCAAACCAGGGAGGTTTTTCAATGCCTCGCAAAGAAGGGCACCAATTGGTAGATGTTTAAAAAATAAGAAAGCAGACGCTGAATATCCCTTTGAGCATGGTGAAGTTATTAATTACACTTTGGATGGTGTATCAATACACCCAGTCACTACAAAGACACAGGCGTCCTTCCTAACTCAGTTGCCAGAGTGGAAGGAAACTACTCAGGGATTTCACCATGAGGCCAATGGTGATTTTTAAACAGTTAGAGTTTAATGGTTGTGATATGAAAACTGAGGATGGATCAACAACATTGTAGTTACTCCACATTACTAACCTAAATGACAGCATGAAAAGAAAGAAGCCTGTACAGAATAAACATATTCTAATACATGCCTCCTGTTTGCAACAAGGTATTTAAATCGGCATGAAAATCTATGGAAGACTTGAACATGGCTTTCTAGCAGTGGTCAACAACCAACTTGACAGAGCTTGAATAATTTTAAAAAAAGAATAATTGACTAATATTGTACAATCCAGGTGTGCAAAGCTCTTAGAGACTTACCCATAAAGACTCACAGCTGTAATCGCTACCAAATGTGTTTCTAACATGTATTGTCTCAGGGGGGTGAATACCTAATCAAGATACAGTATACTAGTGTTTTATTTCAAACCAGGGAGGTAGCTTAGTGGTTAAGAGCATTGTGCCAGTAACCGAAAGGTCGCTGGTTCTAATCCCCGAGCTGACTAGATGTGTCCTTGAGCAAGGCACTTAACCCTAATTGCTCCTGTAAGTTGCTCTGGATAAGAGCGTCTGCTAAATGACCTATTTATTATATTATTATTTTTATTTTTAATATAAAGATTTTCATGCAACATAAAAATGTTAGAATTCTTCTTCCACTTTGACGTTACAGAGTGTGTTGTGTAGATCGTTGACCAAAAAATGTGGAAAAAGTCAAGGGGTGTGAATACTTTCTGAAGCCACTGAACATACTGTATATACATACACACACATATTATGTATACAGTACCAGTCAAAAGTTTGGACACACCCACTCATTCAAGCGTTTTTCTTTATTTTTACTATTTTTTACATTGTAGAATAATAGTGAAGACATCAAAACTATGAAATAACACATATGAAATCATGTAGTAAACAAAAAAGTGTTCAACAAATCAAAATAAATAGCCACCCTTTGCCTTGATGACAGCTTTGCACACTCTTGGCATTCTCTCAACCAGCTTCATGAGGTAGTCACCTGGAATCCATTTCAATTAACAGGTGTGCGTTCTTAAAAGTTAATTTGTGGAATTTCTTTCCTTCTTAATGCGTTTGAGCCAATCAGTTGTGTTGTGACAAGGTAGGGGGGGCTATACAGAAGATAGCCCTATTTGGTAAAAGACCAAGTCCATATTATGGCAAGAACAGCTCAAATAAGCAAAGACAAATCACAGTCCATCATTACTTTAAGACATTGAGGTCAGTCAATCCGGAAGATTTCCTTGGCCCAAGCAGGTCTCTTCTTCATATTGGTGACCTTTAGTAGTGGTTTGTTTGCAGCAATTTGACCATGAAGGCCTGATTCACACAGTCCCCTCTGAAGAGTTGATGTTGAGATGTGTCTGTGACTTGAACTGCAATTTCTGAGGCTGGTACCTCAAATGAACTTATCCTCTGCAGCAGAGATAACTCTGGGTCTTCCATTCCTGTGGCGGTCCTCATGAGAGCCAGTTTCATCATAGCGCTTGATGGTTTTTGCGACTGCACTTAAAGAAACTTTCAAAGTTCTTGACATTTTCCGCGTTGACTGACATTCATGTCTTAAAGTAATGATGGACTTTAATTTCTCTTTGCTTATTTGAGCTGTTCTTGCCATAATATGGACTTGGTCTTTTACCAAATAGGGCTATTTTCTGTATACCCCCCCCCCCCCCCCACCCCCCCCCCCACCACCTTGTCACAACACAACTGATTGGCTCAAACACATTAAGAAGGAAAGAAATTCCACAAATTAACTTTTAAGAAGGCACACCTGTTAATTGAAATGAATTCCAGGTGACTACCTCATGAAGCTGGTTGAGAGAATGCCAAGAGTGTGCAAAGCTGTCATCAAGGCAAAGGGTGGCTATTTGAAGAATCTCAAATATATTTTGATTTGTTTAACACGTTTTTGGTTACTACATGATTCCATGTGTGTTATTTCATAGTTTTGATGTCTTCACTATTATTTTACAATGTAAAAAAAAGTTAAAAAAAAAAAAAAAAACTGGAATGAGTAGGTGTGTCCAAACCTTTGACTGGTAGTGTATATTTATACAGTTTACACACACACACACACACACACACATATACAGTATATATATATATACTGTATATATCGGTCTCTTCCCTCCAGGAGGAAATAGTTTAAAATGCATTCTAATTGGCACCATATTGGCACCCATTGGGCTCTGGTCAAAGTAATACACTATAAAGAGCTTAGGGTGCGTCATTTGGGACGCAACCTTAGTTTGGTTAGTTCCAGTTCCAGATACAGCAGCTCCCTAGTCGCTGTATCACCTGCCTCAGCCTGTTTCAGCCTTCATGTCTCACATTGATCTACTCTATGCATGACCCAGTTACAGTATTATATTATATTGACTACTTTTTCTCAGTCACATGCCAATCCATGTCTCCATCTTTCTGATCCAATTTCACCTAAATAACTGTCTAACTAATCAAGGTTCACTTTCTATTGTGTGTATATTCCTGAAGGGGGAATCATTCATTCTGTAGGTTTATAGCCTTTTAAACAGAGGGAATATAAAACCAAGCCATTAAGCAAGATGACCACTGCCCCTCCCCTCCCACACTCCTTTTTCACCTCCCTTACTAGTTCATCTCATCATCAGATTCTTCCAACACTTTCATATTCTTCTGCCTTTCATATTCAATCACGGTTCCATATCCCTCTCTCCGTCTTACACACTCAACACTTCAGAATGTTCTACTTAATGCCAACACCCAATGGTTTATGAGAGAGGTGCAATCTCACACTATTGCACTCCAGCTCAGTGTTTTTCCACGGTTTGAATATATACCAGATTATGTATTTTATGAATTGCCATGTCAAGGTATGCAGGTGTTACCTAAAAAAAAACAAATTAGTTGTTTGTCTAATTGCAGAGAGGACAGAGAGATTGAAAAAACATAACTTTGTGTTAATTAGACCTTACTCTATTCTCCATTATTTGTGACCCTACCAAATCCTTAACATAGCAGTAAGAAACTCAGATATAAAGTACAACAAAGAAAGTAAAATCATACTATGAGTCTGTTTATTATTTCCTCAGCCTTACTCCCTGTAGGATGAAGAGGGCCACAGCTGTCAGGCTGTCTGTTCCTTCTCTCTGAAACGTGTCTCTAGCTCTTCTTGGTGCCCCTCTGGGCTTTCTTCTTTGGCTGGTGGGCCTCGATCAGCTGGATGCTGCGACGCTTGATCTCCTCGCGGGTCAGGGAGCAGTCCTCCTCCAGACTGCGGAACTGGAATGTGTCTGAGACGGAAGAAAGGAGCAGGTGATAGAGGAGCTATTAGACACAACCAGCAACAAGAAAACACTATTAGCAAAGCACTAAACATCCATTATGCAAACATACAGGAATAGCTACCAGCTGTTAATAAGCTGTTGTTTACAATAGACTTAAAGCCATGCATAACCATACATCCAAGAAAAAGCATACCTTCTGAGGCACTGTTGTACACAGGGCTGCTGGCCCTCTTGAAGTTCCTGGGCTCCATCATGGTGCTCTGCTCCAGAAAGCTCCACACCTGAGGTGAGAGGGGTGAGACCAGATGGGTGAGACCAGTGGGGTGAGGGGTGAGACCAGAGGGGAGAGGGGTGAGACCACAGGGGTAAGACCAGAGGGGAGAGGGGTGAGACCAGAGGGGTGAGACCACGGGGGAGAAGGGTGAGACTACAGGGAAGAGGGGTGAGACCAGAGGGGAGAGGGGTGAGACAAGAGGGGAGAAGGGTGAGACCACAGGGGAGAGGGGTGAGACCAGAGGGAAGAGGGGTGAGACCACATGGGAGAGGGCTGAGACCAGAGGGGTGAGACCACAGGGGAGAGGGGTGAGATCACAGGGCAGAGGGGTGAGACCAGAGGGGAGAGGGGTGAGATCAGAGGGGTGAGACCAAAGGGGAGAGGGCTGAGACCAGAGGGGTGAGACCACAGGGGAGAGGGGTGAGATCACAGGGCAGAGGGGTGAGACCAGAGGGGAGAGGGCTGAGACCAGAGGGGTGAGACCACAGGGGAGAAGGGTGAGATCACAGGGCAGAGGGGTGAGACCAGAGGGGAGAGGGGTGAGACCACAGGGGAGGGGGTTTGAGACCACAAGGGAGAGGGGTGAGACCAGAGGGGAGAGGGTTGAGACCAGATGGGTGAGACCAGAAGGGAAAGGGGTGAGACCACAGGGGAGAAGGGTGAGACCACAAGGGAGAGGGGTGAGACCACAGGGGAGAGGTGTGAGACCACAGGGGAGAGGGGTGAGACCACAGGGGAGAGGGGTGAGAAAAAGAGGGGTGAGACCACAAGGGAGAGGGGTGAGACCAGAGGGGAGAGGGGTGAGACCATAGGGGAGAAGGATGAGACCACAAGGGAGAGGGGTGAGACCAGAGGGGAGAGGGGTGAGACCACAGGGGAGAGGGGTGAGACCACAAGGGAGAGGGGTGAGACCAGAGGGGAGAGGGGTGAGACCATAGGGGAGAAGGATGAGACCACAAGGGAGAGGGGTGAGACCAGAGGGGAGAGGGGTGAGACCACAGGGGAGAGGGGTGAGACCAGATGGGTGAGACCAGAAGGGAGAGGGGTGAGACCACAGGGGAGAAGGATGAGACCACAAGGGAGAGAGGTGAGACCAGAGGGGTGAGACCACAGGGGAGAAGGGTGAGACCAGATGGGTGAGACCAGAAGGGAGAGGGGTGAGACCACAGGGGAGAAGGATGAGACCACAAGGGAGAGGGGTGAGACCAGAGGGGAGAGGGTTGAGACCAGATGGGTGAGACCAGAAAGGAGAGGGGTGAGTCCACAGGGGAGAAGGATGAGACCACAAGGGAGAGGGGTGAGACCAGAGGGGAGATGGGTGAGACCAGAAGGGAGAGGGGTGAGACCACAGGGGAGAAGGATGAGACCACAAGGGAGAGGGGTGAGACCAGAGGGGAGAGGGTTGAGACCAGATGGGTGAGACCAGAAGGGAGAGGGGTGAGACCAGAGGGGAGAGGGGTGAGAGAACAGAGGGGTCACCTTCTCATGGTCAGCAGTGTTTTCCTCAATCTTCTCTGAAGCTGTGGTCTGCAGTGTGGGCAGACGGACACCAATTTCCCTCAGCTTCTCTGTGGCATCCAGATCCCCCAACTCCTTGGGAGAGTCCTACAACAACACAGAAACATTTGCTTTAGAATCCTCTCTATTCCTGAATAACATCACCAAGGGCTAGTTTATATAATGAGAACAGTAGTGGTCCAAGAACAGAGGCTTGAGGAATTCCCAAACAACATTTTCTGGCTGATAGGTGACTAGAGGGTTGTTTTTCTTTGTGACCAAGAAAGGGCCAGATGAGACTGAGCTGTCCATCTAAAATGGCTACCTTGACATGCACACAGCTAATCCTGAAGAACAAGTTGTTGACCCCCTGCTCTACCCCATGCAGCACGGATTGGGCCCTGCCCAGCTTGGCTTCCCATTGGCTGCAACGCTCCTCTTCCTGCTCAAGCTCCACCTGCATTTCCTCCTTCAGCTGCTCAAACCTTGAGAAAAACACAGAGGGTGAATCTAAATTGTATTTCCTTGATTCCTTGCATTCTCTCCTCGCCTCCTTTCGCAAAACCCATTGGAGAAGAAGGTCTGAGGCCTGAGATCTGAGGAACTTTCAGATTTTCTCCTCTATTTCTATGATGATACAGAAGTACTACTTTTCTGTGGCTCTACTGTACCTGTCAGAGCCGGGCCCGGCGCTGAACTTGAGTCGCGCGTACTGGAGCTCCAGGGCAGCCAGGGTCTCCATGCTCTGACTGACCAGCTCCTCACACTGGGTCATCTGAGTGTGCAGCTGCTCTCTGGTGGCCTGCTGAGAGACCAGCCGTGTCTCCAGCTCCTAGACAGACAGGTGGAGAAGTAGACACATACTCAGCTCAGAGAGACTACCGGCACCAGTATTCCTAATATTGAGTTGCACCCCCTTTTGCCCTCAGAACAGACTCAATTCGTCAGGGCATGGATTCTACAAGGTGTCGAGAGCCTTCCACAGGGATGCTGGCCCATGTTGACTCCAATGCGTCCCACAGCTGTGTCAAGTTGGCTGGATGTGCTTTGGGTGGTGGACCATTCTTGATACACACGGGAAACTGTTGAGCGTGTAAAACCCAGCAGCGTTGCTGTTCTTGACGCACTCAGACCGGTGCGCCTGGCACCTACTACCATACCCTGTTCAAAGGCACTTAAATATTTTGTCTTGCGCTTTCACCCTCTGAATGGCACAAATACACAATCCATGTCTCAATTGTTTCAAGGCTTAAAAGTCCTTCTTTAACCTGTCTCCTCCCATTCATCTACACTGATTGAAGTGGCAACATGTGACATAAATAAGGGATCATAGCTTTCACCTGGATTCACCTAGTCAGCTATGAAAAGCCAACTGACATTTACTCCTGAGGTACTGACCTCTTGCACCCTCTACAACCACTGTGATTATTATTTGACCCTGCTGGTCATCTATGAATGTTTGAACAGCTTCAAGAACATGTACTCTTATAATATCCACTCGGCACAGCCAGAAGAAGACTGGCCACCCCTTAGAGCCTGGTGCCTCTCTAGCTTTCTTTTTAGGTTCCTGCCTTTCTAGTGAGTTTTCCCTAGCCAGCGTGCTTCTACATCTGCATTGCTTGCTGTTTGGGGTTTTAAGCTGGGTTTCTGTATAAGCACTTTGTGACATCTGCTGATGTAAAAAGGGCTTTATGAATACATTTGATTTGAGTCAGTCTATACCATGGATAGACCAGGTGTTCCTAATGTTATGTACACTCAATTTATATATGCAGTAAAAATAAAATGTGTTTTTAGTCCATATATTTTCCCTGACTCCCAAAAGTACTCCTTACATTTCGAATGCTTAGCAGGACAGGAAAATTGTCAAATTCACACACCTATCAAGAGAATATCCCTGGTCATACCTACTGCCTCTGATCTGGCAGACTCCCTAAACACAAATGCTTAGTTTGTAAATGATGTCTGAGTGTTGGAGTGTGTCCCTGGCTACCTGTAAATAAATATAAACTAGAAAAACCGTGCCGTCTGGTTTGCTTAATATAAGGAATGTGAAATGATTTATACTTTTACTTTTGATACTTAAGTATATTTTAAACCAAATACTTTTAGACTTTTACTGAAGTAGTATTTTGCTAGGTGACTTTCACTTTTACATTTTACATTTTCTATTAAAGTATCTTTACTTTTACTCAAGTATGACAATTGGGTACTTCTTTCACCACTGCCAGCGTGTGGATTGACTTTTTGTTCAGAGAGACTATCAGGCCAGGTACCAGGCCTGGGGTGTGTTTGAATACCTTTGCCTTTTCTATAGTGCCACACATACCGTAAGTGTTCTAATATATTACATTTAATTGAAACTACAACACCCCAGTGTGGTTAGATATTACTGCAACGTAACTCAACAAAATTAAACAACTACATCACTGTGTCAAGGGAAAAAACAAAGGGCTGTTTGCAACAGTGGCTTATATTAAAAACGTAACATTAATGATAGGCAACATGTTGCTTATTAGAGTGCTTATTAGATATTGCACATAATAGGGCTAAATGATCCACGTGGGCCACCATACCTGCAGATCAGTGCAGCTGAGCGCTTCTCTCAGAGCATCAATATCCTCCACCAGTTTGAAGATGGACTGTGGAGTAATGGAGGCTGCGGCCGTCTGCTGGGCTGCAGGAGGAGAACACAACACAGACACATATCATTTCATCATCAATCTCAATGCTGAACATAAGGAAATAAAATGTGAGCACCTGAAAACCAGCAGCACGCTGAATATGGATGTCATTGTATGTATGCACATTGCCTTTGCTCATGCAAAGTATGTATGATTCAGAATATTACTGCCTTCAAGATAGAGTACTATTTGGACATTGGTGATCTGATATTTACTGTATTTATTTTAATACATAAGTGTCTGTGGTGTAAGATCATCTGATGTAATACCTCTGATAGGAGCTGTATCTTCAGCCAGTCCCTCTCTGGCAGACGACCCTCTCCGACCCTATAAAACAACAACACTCACTGACTGCAATAGGCATTTAAGTGTCCCTCTTGACTAACATGTTCACTTTCAATCTGTTCTTTCATTCTCCTGTTCTCTCGCTGTTTCCCACAGGTCAATCCATCACGGAGGGAGTACTGTAGGAGGGGAGAGGGAAAGGAGGGAAGGAGGGAAGGAGTCAGAAGGAGGGAAGGAGGGAGGAGGGAGGGAGGGACAGGAGGAGGGAGAGCGGGAGGGCGGGAGGAGGGACCGGGAGGGCAGGGAGGGGGGAGGAGGGACTGGGGGGAGGGATCGGAGGGGTGAGCGTATTCGGTGGGTATGGTTCTGTCTGTATGGAGGGCGTTCATTGGCTGATTGCGGAGGCGTGTGGATTGAGAGTGCGTTCTTTTATCTTCTTGGTCATTCTTTCTTTTCTATTTCTATCTTTCTGTCTTTCTTTCTCTCTCTCTCTATTTCTGTTCCCCACAGGCCCATCTTTCTCTCTCCCTCCCTATTTCTCCCTCCATCTCTCCCTCCATCTCTCCCTCCGTCTCTTTCTCTCTCACCTGCTCTTTCAATTTCTGTGCTACTCTGCTGCTCCGTCGCTCTCCCTCCCTCTCTCTCTCCAGCCGACTCTCCACCTCCTTCTCTTTCACTCCCCTCCTTTCAGTCAACCCTTTCTCCATCATTCTGCGTTCCACCATTAGCTGCCTCTCCATATGAACCAGCTGACTCTGGTGGCGAAAGACAGACAGACAAACATACACACGTCATACAATTGTAGTGGGAAAAGGCATACTGGAATTCATGACAAGTCATGGCTGGTATTCAGATGAGCCTGACCTTTTTTCTCTTATTTTCTTCCCAATCATACTAAGACATGTAGCCAATGTGTGTAATACAATTGATAGCACTTACAAGTAAACATCCCACAATAGGCAAGTGGGAGCTAAAAGTTAATGGTCCCCCAGATTTGCTTTACCTTAGTGCAGTCCACAGCAGCCACTGCAGTGTGAGACATGTGGGCCACCTTTCCTAGCTCTGTCTGCCCGCTGACCACTGAGTTCTGCAGCTGATCCAGAGCCATGGGCATCTCACACACCTCCTGAACCAGGAACAAACGACCCAAACACGGGTCACAATGGAATTAGATTTGTCTGCTTCCCAAATGGAATCTATTCACTACTTTTAACCAGGGCTCATAGGGCTCTTGTCAAAAGTAGTGGGGTCCCATTTGAGACACAACTCCGCCAGTCCTACGTAGTCACACTGACTGGAGTATATCTCCCAAGGGAGACTTGAATTCAATGTTGACAATTTAATTTGATTTAATGTCCACAAAGAACGGCTGATAATAAGTATAATAAGATATAGGTTTTGGTTGAGAGCTTTTGTGAAAGAGCACAGTTAGAAAGATATGGCATATAGAAGCAAACCGGATTAACATCATGAAAATGATCGGAGAGGTTGAGGGTAGAGGAAGTTCAGGAGTAAAAACAAACAAAATAGAATTATTGTAAAATTGACTGTGTCCATAAAATGTATATAGTATGTATAAGCTGGAAGTAGAGGCATACGCGTTGTTGTTCACTGGTTTACTCCAATTAGGGAAGGGGTGGTGGGGTTGGAAAGTAATAAATGGAAATATACAGTGGGGAGAACAAGTATTTGATACACTGCCGATTTTGCAGGTTTTCCTAATTACAAAGCATGTAGAGGTCTGTAATATTTATCATAGGTACACTTCAACTGTGAGAGACGGAATCTAAAACAAAAATCCAGAAAATCACATTGTATGATTTTTAAGTAATTCATTTGCATTTTATTGCCTGACATAAGTATTTGATACATCAGAAAATCAGAACTTAATATTTGGTACAGAAACCTTTGTTTGCAATTACAGAGAACATACATTTGCTGTAGGTCTTGACCAGGTTTGCACACACTGCAGCAGGGATTTTGGGCCACTTCCCCATACAGACCTTCTCCAGATCCTTCAGGTTTCGGGGCTGTCGCTGGGCAATATGGACTTTCAGCTCCCTCCAAAGATTTACTATTGGGTTCAGGTCTGGAGACTGGCTAGGCCACTCCAGGATCTTGAGATGCTTCTTATGGAGCCACTCCTTAGTTGCCCTGGCTGTGTGTTTTGGGTCGTTGTCATGCTGGAAGACCCAGCCACGACCCATCTTCAATGCTCTTACTGAGGGAAGGAGGTTGTTGGCCAAGATCTCGCGATACATGGCCCCATCCATCCTCCCCTCAATACGGTGCAGTCGTCCTGTCCCCTTGGCAGAAAAGCATCCCCAAAGAATGATGTTTCCACCTCCATGCTTCACGGTTGGGATGGTGTTCTTGGGGTTGTACTCATCCTTCTTCTTCCTCCAAACACGGCGAGTGGAGTTCTGACCAAAAAGCTAAATTTTTGTCTCATCAGACCACATGACCTTCTCCCATTCCTCCTCTGGATCATCCAGATGGTCATTGGCAAACTTCAGACGGGTCGACGCTGGGCGACGCTGTGCCAATTGTGCGCCGCCCATGAGTCTCCCGGTCGCGGCCGGCTGCGACAGAGCCTGGATTCGAACCAGGATCTCTGCGATGCAGTGCCTTAGACCACTGCGCCACTCAGGAGTGTTCTTGGGGTTGTACTCATCCTTCTTCTTCCTCCAAACACGGCGAGTGGAATATAGACCAAAAAGCTCTATTTTTGTCTCATCAGACCACATGACCTTCTCCCATTCCTCCTCTGGATCATCCAGATGGTCATTGGCAAACTTCAGACGGGTCTGGACATGCGCTGGCTTGAGCAGGTGGGCCTTGCGTGCGCTGCAGGATTTTAATCCATGACGGCGTAGTGTGTTACTAATTGTTTTCTTTGAGACTGTGGTCCCAGCTCTCTTCAGGTCATTGACCAGGTCCTGCCGTGTAGTTCTGGGCTGATCCGTCACCTTCCTCATGATATATTTATTATATATTTTTATTTTATATTATTATATATTTATATTTTAGTCATTTAGCAGACGCTCTAATCCAGAGCGATTTACAGGAGCAATTAGGGTTAAGTGCCTTGCTTAAGGGGCACATCGACAGATTTTTCACCTAGTCGGCTCGGGGATTAGAACCAGCGACCTTTCGGTTACTGGCACAACGCTCTTACCCACTAAGCTACCTTTGATCATTGATGCCCCACGAGGTGAGATCTTGCATGGAGCCCCAGACCGAGGGTGATTGACCGTCATCTTGAACTTCTTCCATTTTTTTATAAAGCGCCAACAGTTGTTGCCTTCTCACCAAGCTGCTTGCCTATTGTCCTGTAGCCCATCCCAGCCTTGTGCAGGTCTACAATTTTATCCCTGATGTCCTTACACAGCTCTCTGGTCTTGGCCATTGTGAAGAGGTTGGAGTCTGTTTGATTGAGTGTGTGGACAGGTGTTTTTTGTACAGGTAATGAGTTCAAACAGGTGCAGTTAATACAGGTAATGAGTGGAGAACAGGAGGGCTTCTTTAAAAAAAACGAACAGGTCTGTGAGAGCTGGAATTCTTACTGGTTGGTAGGTGATCAAATAATTATGTCATGCAATAAAATGCAAATTAATTACTTAAAAATCATACAATGTGATTTTCTGGATTTTTGTTTTAGATTCCGTCTCTCATAGTTGAAGTGTACCTATGATAAAAATTACAGACCTCTACATACTTTGTAAGTAGGAAAACCTGCAAAATCGGCAGTGTATCAAATACTTGTTCTCCCCACTGTATATATTTTTTAAGGATATATATATGTATGTATATGTATTTATATGTATGTACAGTGGGGAAAAAAAGTATTTAGTCAGCCACCAATTGTGCAAGTTCTTCCACTTAAAAAGATGAGAGAGGCCTGTAATTTTTATGATAGGTACACGTCAACTATGACAGACAAAATGAGCAAAACAAATCAAGAAAATCACATTGTAGGATTTTTAATGAATTTATTTGCAAATTATGGTGGAAAATAAGTATTTGGTCACCTACAAACAAGCAAGATTTCTGGCTCTCACAGACCTGTAACTTCTTCTTTAAGAGGCTCCTCTGTCCTCCACTCGTTACCTGTATTAATGGCACCTGTTTGAACTTGTTATCAGTATAAAATACACTTTTGTTATTGACCAAATACTTATTTTCCACCATAATTTGCAAATAAATTCATTAAAAATCCAACAATGTGATTTTCTGGGGAAAAAAATCTCAATTTGTCTGTCATAGTTGACGTTTACCTATGATGAAAATTACAGGCCTCTCTCATCTTTTTAAGTGGGAGAACTTGCACAATTAGTGGCTGACTAAATACTTTTTTTCCCCACTGTATGTCTTGATAGTGAATATCGTCAATACAGAGTGTGATTGTTCTTTAACGTACGTATGTACATAATCTTTTGAGTCACGCCACTAATAAGATACAGAGGCCCCATTTAGAGAAGTGCAAGTAGCCCCTGTGAGTAGCCAACATGTGATAATGAAAATATGTTATTCATTCACATAGAGAGGAGTAACTATGTATGTTGACTATGCATTTGTGTCTGTATAAAAGGACAGCTCCGGTTCAGGGCAAGCAGTTGCTCCATGGAGCAAGCTCGGCTTTGTTATGCAAATATTAAAAGTCTAATTTTTGGATTCACAAGCTCCAGTCTCTTGAGAGATATTTTGAGTTGACTACTTTTGAGTCAAATATTTCTACGACAATGTATATATATATATATATATATATATATATATATATATATATTTGCGAGAAAAAAACATATGGGGGATTGGAAGTGATGCAGACAATTACATTGATGGAAGTTACAATCTATCTGCAATATTAAAGCTGATCTCCAACCCCCCCCCCCCCCAAAAAAAAAAAAAGAAAGAAAGAAAGGCTGATATCTGTGAATGTGTTAGTGTTACTCACCCGATGTAGGTGGTCGCAGACTCGCAGGTAGGTTTTTTGGATCCTCTCAGCCTCTGTGATTTTGATGGTCATCTTTTCTAGGCTGTTCTCCAGCTGTCTCACACGCTACCAAGGGAAAATACAACAGAAACGTCAACACACAAGAAAAATCGAAAACACACATTAGGCCAATGACAGAGCAGTTTAAATGCTTGGATCCTAGATCCTAGACATCATCCACTTGAGTCTTGTAACAAGTCAAGGTCACTCAATGTCAACTTTCAGCACCATGGACAAGGCCTGTGATTGCTTTATGCCTCTCTCCCATGTCAATATGCCTTGCTTATTGCTGTTTCACTTATTTCTTATTGTACTATTTCACTGTAGATCCCCCAGCCCAGCTAAACCTGCCTTAGATAGCTCTTTTGTCCCACCCCCCATACACGCGGAGACCGACTCAATTGGTGCCTCCAGTGATGCTTTCTCCTTCATCGTTACCCAACGCTTAGGTTTACCTCAACTGTACTCCTATCCTTCCATATCCTTTTCTGTACATAATGCCCTGAATCTATTCTACAACGCCCGAAAACCTGCCCCTTTTTTTCTCTGTACCCAACGCACTAGAAGACCAGTACTTAAAGCCTTTAGCCATATCCTTATTCTACTCCTCCTCTGTTCCTCTGGTGATGTAGAGGTTAACCCAGGCCCTGTAGCCACCAGTATCACTCCTACTCCCCAGGCATTATCATTTGTTGACTTCTGTAATCGTAAAAGCCTTGGTTTCTTGCACGTTAATATCCGAAGCCTCCTTCCTAAGTTTGAGTTATTCACTGTGCTAGCACACTCCACCAACCCTGATGTTCTAGCAGTGTCTGAATCCTGGCTTAGGAAGGCCACCAAAAATTCAGAAATGTCCATCCCCAACTACAACATTTCCCGTCTCGATAGAACTGCCAAAGGGGGTGGGGTTGCAATCTACTGTAGAGATAGCCTGCAGAGCTCTATCGTACTATCCAGGTCTGTGCCCAAACAGTTTGAGCTTCTACTGTTAAAAATCCACCTTTCCAGAAATAAGTCTCTCACTGTTGCCGCTTGCTACAGACCCCCCTCACCCGAGTTGTGCCCTGGACACCATATGTGAACTGATTGCCCCGCATCTATCCTCAAGAGTTCGTACTGCTTGGTGACCTAAACTGGGATATGCTTAACACCCCGGCCAACCTACAATCCAAACTAGATGCCCTCAATCTCACACAAATTATCAACGAACCTACCAGGTACAACCCTAAATCTGTAAACATGGGCACCCTCATAGATATCATCCTGACAAATGTACCCTCTAAATACACCTCCGCTGTCTTCAACCAGGATCTCAGCGATCACTGCCTTATTGCCTGCGTCCGTAATGGGTCCGCGATCAAACGACCACCCCTCATCACTGTCAAACGCTCCCTAAAACACTTTAGCGAGCAGGCCTTTCTAATTGACCTGGCCCGGGTATCCTGGATGGATATTGACCTCATTCCGTCAGTAGAAGATGCCTGGTTGTTCTTTAAAAGTGCTTTCCTCTCAATCTTAAATAAGCATGCCCCATTCAAAAAATTCAGAACTAAGAACAGATATAGCCCCTGGTTCAGCACAAAAACATCCTGTAGCGTACTGCATTAGCATCGAACAGCCCCCGCGATATGCAACTTTTTAGGGAAGTCAGGAACCAATATACACAATCAGTTAGGAAAGCAAAGGCTAGCTTTTTCAAATAGAAATTTGCTTCCTGTAGCACTAACTCCAAAAAGTTTTGGGACACTGTAAAGTCCATGGAAAATAAGAGCACCTCCTCCCAACTGCCCACTGCACTGAGGCTAGGAAACACTGTCACCACCGATAAATCTACAATAATCGAGAATTTCAACAAGCATTTTGCTACGGCTGGCCATGCTTTCCACCTGGCTACCACTACCCCAGCCACCAGCTCTGCACCCTCCGCTGCAACTTGCCCATGCCCCCCCCCCCCCCCCCCCCCCCCCCCCCCCCCCCCCCCCCCTCCGCTTCTCCTTCACACAAATTCAGACAGCTGATGTTCTGAAAGAGCTGCAAAATCTGGACCCCTACAAATCAGCTGGGCTAGACAATCTGGACCCTTTCTTTCTAAAATTAGCCGCCGAAATTGTCGCAACCCCTATTACTAGCCTGTTCAACCTCTCTTTTGTAACGTCTGAGATCCCCAGAGATTGGAAAGCTGCCGCGGTCATCCCCCTCTTCAAAGGGGGTGACACTCTAGATCCTAACTCTTATAGACCTATATCCATCCTGTCTTTCGAAAGTATTTGAAAGCCAAGTTAACAAACAGATCACCGACCATTTCGAATCCCACCGTACCTTCTCCGCTATGCAATCCGGATTCCGAGCTGGTCATGGGTGCACCTCAGCCACGCTCAAGGTCCTAAACGATATTATAAACGCGATCGATAAAAGACAGTACTGCGTAGCCGTCTTCATCGACCTGGCCAAGGCTTTCGACTCTGTCAACCACCGCATTCTTATTGGCAGACTAAATAGCCTTGGTTTCTCTAATGACTGCCTCGCCTGGTTCACCAACTACTTCTCAGATAGAGTTCAATGTGTCAAATTGGAGGGCCTGTTGTCTGGACCTCTGGCCGTCTCTATGGGCGTGCCACAGGGTTCAATTCTCGGGACGACTCTATTCTCTGTGTATATCAATGATGTTGCTCTTGCTGCTGGTGACGCTCGGATCCACCTCTATGCGGACGACACCATTTTGTATACATCTGGCCCTTCATTGGACACTGTGTTAACAAACCTCCAAACGAGCTTCAATGCCATACAACACTCCTTCCGTAGCCTCCAACTACTCTTAAACACTAGTAAAACTAAATGCATGCTCTTCAACCGAATGCTGCTTGCACCCGCCCACCCGACTAGAATCACTACTCTCGGCGGGTCTGACCTAGAGTATGTGGACAACTACAAATACCTAGGTGTCTGGTTAGACTGTAAACTCTCCTTCCAGACTCACATTAAGCATCTCCAATCAAAAGTTAGATCTAGAATCGGCTTCCTATTTCGCAACAAAGCCTCCTTCACTCATGCTGCCAAACATGCCCTCGTAAAACTGACTATCCTACCGATCCTTGACTTCGGCGATGTCATTTACAAAATAGCCTCCAACACCCTACTCAGCAAATTGGATGTAGTCTATCACAGTGCCATCCGTTTTGTCACCAAAGCCCCATATACTACCCACCATTGTGACCTGTACGCTCTTGTTGGCTGGCCCTCACTACATATTCGTCGCCAAACCCACTGGCTCCAGGTCATCTATAAATCACTGCTAGGCAAATCCCCGTCTTATCTTAGCTCACTGGTCACCATAGCAACACCCACCCGTAGTCTGCGCTCCAGCAGGTATATCTCACTGGTCATCCCACAAAGCCAACACCTCCTTTGGCCGCCATTCCTTCCAGTTCTCTGCTGCCAATGACTGGAACGAACTGCAAAAATCTCTGAAGCTGGAGACTCTTATCTCCCTCACTAACTTTAAGCGTCAGTTGTCAGAGCAGCTTACCGATCACTGCACATGTACACAGCCTTTCTGAAATTAGCCCACCCAACTACCTCATCCCCATATTGTTATTTATTTTGCTAATTTGCACCCCAGTATCTCTATTTGCACATCATCTTTTGCACATCTATCATTCCAGTATTATACTAAATTGTAACTATTTTGCACTATGGCCTATTTATTGCCTTACTTCCATAACTTACTACATTCGCACACACTGTATATATATTTTCAGTTGTATTTTTGACTATATGTTTTGTTTACCCCATATGTAACTCTGTGTTGTTGTTTTTATCGCACTACTTTGCTTTATCTTGGCCAGGTCGCAGTTGTAAATGAGAACTTGTTCTCAACTGGCTTACCTGGTTAAATAAAGGTGAAAAAAAAAAAAAAGGCCATTCACGTGCTAACTCCACTAAGCAGTTAAAACTGTGTGTCCCCTGTATAGTGTCACCTGGTTGTAGTGCTGCTCGTCATCATCCGCTATGGAGTCCAGCTCCAGGACCTTCATGTCCGGCTCCATCTCCAGCAGCTGTGACTCTTTGGCCCTGACAGCACACTGCAGCCTGTTGTGCTGCTCTGTCAGAGTACACTGTCGACGCTTCTCCCGCTCCACAATGCTCTATACGCGCACGCACGCACACGCACGCATGCACACACATACACACGCACGCACACACACACACACACACACACATGCTGGCATATTATCTACAAGCTGGCATGTACAACTGGGCTATTCCAAAAATGAGATGCCTTCACAAAGCTAATATTGTCTATGCACAGGTCGCTACAAGCTTGCCACCTCCCTCTTTACCTGAGCTCAAGTTATGTAGGCCTACCTCCATTGATGGTCCAGGCTTGGGCAGTGACCTGCCCAGGGTGCTTCCACCTTGTGGAGATTTCTGATCATTCTCTAAGATCTCCTTTGCAGCACTGTACTCTGCCTGGGTCTGCCGCTCTGAACCCAAGTGGATATCATATACAGGGAAAAGTAATCAAACGACATACACTAGAGGGGTGAAAACTACAATCATTGCAATCTATAGAGCATTTCATGGGCAGTGGAGTACATTTATGTATCATATATTCTGCAATACAATTATGTCAAGGTGTGACAGATAGCCATTCTATATATATATATGAATATATACAGTACCAGTCAAAAGTTTGGACACACCTACTCATTCAAGGGTCTTTCTTTATTTTTACTATTTTCTACATTGTAGAATAATAGTGAAGACATCATAACTTTCAAATAACACATATGGAATCATGTATTAAACAAAAAAGTGTTCAACAAATCAAAATATATTTTATATTTGAGATTCTTCAAATAGCCACCCTTTGTCTTGATGACAGCTTTGCACACTCTTGACTGGTACACTAATATATATATATATATATATATATATATATATGCTACAATGGTTTTTGATAAAACTTCACGACTATTAGAAATTTATATAACTATTAGAAATACCGGTGGACATAACTAGCTGTAACTTTTACCTAATTGCTGTATGCGGATTCGCTGCTCTTGCAGAGTCAGCATCTTTGCCTTCTCTGTATCCTTTACCTGCATACTGTCCTGCCTTTCGCTGTAATATGCATTTTTGTTTTATCGGCGCTTTTCAATAGATTTCTGCAACGAATAGAACCGTGTCATGGATCGACAGAATTCTATTTAGTCGTCATAATAAAACAGAGATACGTTTTATTACCTCAGGCACGTGAAGTAATAATGTAATGTAAACAGTAGCCTATCTTTAAATGCTATTATTGATCAGCATGTGAATAAAACTCGAGCAGTAATAGGAATAGGTAAAAGTCACCGCAATTTATTAGTCATTACACATCTCAAATATCAATACTAAATAGGCTACTAACAGCATATTCTTGTACCCAGACACTTTTGCCCAAATGATCAATAGCCTGGGGCCGAGGTTACTGACAACATAACATTGAAAAGCTTTGAACAGAGAAACAATATCGTATCGGCTGACATTTATTGTTAACTCATTTATGTCACCAATATATCAAGGTTTTATTATTAGTTAGGCTGTCTTGTACACATTCGCAGCTAAAAGCTGAATTGCAGTAGACAACAAAAGGAGATAAAAGTTATTTGAAGAAGAAGAATATTAGGTCGACCATTCAATCAAGCAGTAATTAATTCATAATCAAGTCATTATTATTTTTAATCGGTTTTCAAATCATAAAAGACAAAACCCACTGGTCACAGACGTAAATTCAACCTCTATTCCAAGTTGGTTCAACATAATTTCATGGAAATGACGTGGAAATAATGTTGATTCAACCAGTGTGTGCTCAGCGGGAACCCTGTCAGTAGTGTTCATAAAATCATATCAAAGTATGATCTATTTTCTGATAGTCCTCCACCTTTTCTACTTAGTAGTGTACCACAGATATTCCATAACTCGGACTAAAATCTCATTAAAAGGTCTACCCTGCTAAGGGAAGGTAGTCTAAAAAAGTGAAGGAGAAAAAACACATACAATGTGGTATCACTCACACATCCCTGATGATATGGCACTCAAGTTTCCTTCTAACAATGCAAATAACAATACTTCTGCTACATTCATTAAAGTTATAACTAGGGCTGTCAGAGTTAATCAGTCATAACTGATAACATTTACTAGTCTAGTACCTAAAGTGATGAGGACATACATACACTCGAAACAACAATAAAATCATGCTATAAAATTATATGATTGTTTTGCAACCCAATCTAATGAGATTGATTGTAATAAGGAAATATGCAATCAATCAATCACTATCAATCAGTCAGTCAAAAAGGAGCTGTTCTGTAACCACCATAAATGTGAAAGGCACACGGCAACAACAAAAAAAGAGAGTATAAAGTTGCATTGATATGCTTGCGTGAGAATGATAATATGGCCTTTGTTCATATAGTTCCATGATGTAACCACAGTATACTGAATGAAATGTAAATGCTATGACCTTGATCATAATACACCTAACCTAAACATAACGGCTGAGAAATGATAAATAGTGTAGGTTGTATTCCCGATCCGAGGCTACCCCTGAATTCGCTACAATAGGTTTTGATCAACAGCATGTTGGATCTGTGCAAATAGCAGCACATTAGAGAAGCGCTCTCACTGTGTATGTGCAGGTGAGGATGGGACCCAGCTTATTATGGTATAATATATATGAATTGTGCTTATTTTGGATCCCTTACATGAACTCACAATTCATATTGTACATTCCACACCTCCCCTCTGGGTGTGTCATATGATATGATATTAGTGACATAATATAAATCTCTGCTCCCTGATTGGGAAAATCCTTTTTGATGTCAAAGAGGTCAAAGTGTACATTTGTCCTTCATTAGTGTTTGGACGTCCTGTAGTGCATCGCCTAAAATAAAGAATAAAAATAGTGCATTTTGAAATGTCTAGACTGGCATTGAGGACTACTGTTAACCGGACAGAGAAACAGAGCATCATGAATATGATGGATGTTATGCATCATCAACACTGTCTGAGCGGTTTGGTGGTCATTTGCTTTGGTGACATCGGACCTTGATCTGAATCTCTTCATCCTGAGAAAGAATGAGAGAGAGAGAGATGCGAGAGAGCACGATAAAGAGAGAAAAGGAGGTGAGTAGTTAAAGCAGCACAGTCTCTTTCTGTTGTAGAAGATCAAACAAAGCAAACATTGGTTGTGTAAAACTGATCACTCAACATTCTTTTTTTTTTTTATCTCTGGAAAATTCCTTGGTATATTGTTTATTTACTAGTTAGCATCATTTTCCTAAAGGTAATCCTGGATCCTGCTTCAGTGGGTATATGTGTGCATCCCAAATGGGAATAGGGTGCCATTTGGAACTCAACCTTGTACATACTGTGTCTGCAGTCTCCTCCCCCTCTGTGTGTTCCGCTCCACTGTTGGGATTAGACATGTCAAAGTCAGAGAGAGCACTCTCTATAGCCTCCTCATCATAGTCTGTTTGGTATTCATCTGATAACTCTGAGGGAGAGAGGAAGAGAGAGAAGGTGTAGAGAAAAACGCAGGAACTAGTTAGGTACAGGAAGTGTGTGTGTGTCCCTCTCACCTTCCACCAGGACTGGT